GCTTCAGTCTTTTTCTCACCGGTTCCCTGTACCTTTACTATAAATACTTTCATGGTAATTGTTCTGATGAACTTTCTTGTATTGTACCTATACTTTATGAATTTAAGCGCAGTACTCGATTGGCCATGAGGTCTCATTAAATTACGCTTGAGATTGGTTAGATGCAACCATAAGTTCTCGCTAACGGTTTCTTCTCTCGCACTTCTCGTTTCCGGTTCCATGTTTCCAGCAAACTTTGATCTTCAAAAATTTAAATGTAATGTCAATCGTTATCTACTGTCTTCTTGATTCCTCTTCTTTTATTTTTCTTGCTCCTTATCAGTGTTTCTCTTTTTTTTTATCATTTTATCACACTCACTAACCACTTATGTCTTCAGGGTTTTAATACCTTACATGAGGTGAAGTAATAATAATAATAAAAAAAAAAATCAAATTACTATTCATTGCATGCTCAAGAACTCTGCTTTCTATCATTCTAAGCCAAAATTCATTTAAACTTCATAATATGTTTGTTTGGCTTCACCCATCTACCTTGATACACACAGACACACACACACATCAGCATCCTTACTGCCAGATTGATTTATTTAACTTTTACAGGGAGGAGATCAGGAGAGAATTAGAAGTGCGACCAGCATTCATTATTGACGGCTAGAATCTTAAAAACATAAGATATGCACATGACACAATTTTGATAGCATATACAGATATAAAACTACAGGAACTCCTACAGAATCTAGTTAATAAAAGCAAAGGCTAAACGTATGTTGTAAGAAACGCGAATATGTTTGTCGGCAAAGGGAACAGCCTAAGATGCGAACTACGAATAAGTGATGGCGAAATGATCTAAGGTTCCTCAATTTGAATACGTAGAAATCAGAAGGAAAATGCAACACTGAAAACCGAAGGCTCATTGGAATAACGAATGAAGCTTTCCAAAGAAAAGTATTTTGAAACAGGAAACTTTTATTAGAAACAGAGAATGCTAACCTGTTACGCAGTATCAGCCCTTCTTTATGACAGTAAATACTACCCAGTCTCTTCATAGATAAGGTAAAGATTTGAGGCTACGGAATTCTGGGATTACCATGGGTCAAACCTGTGATTGGGTTGTTAATGCGCTTTACCGCGGCGTGTAGTAGGTAAACCACTGCTATTTGTAGATTTCTTGGCATATTACACTCACTGACAATAGTGTCCAACGTATTTATAAGGAGTGAGACATACCCATTAGTGTTCATACGTACAGTATATAACATTATTTGTTTTTTATCTATCTATCTATCTATCTATCTATCTATCTGTTTTAATCTAGAGAGGGTTACAGAATGTGGAATAATCAAAACGGAGGTTGGAAATGAAAATGGTAAACTTTATAACATCAAGAAAATATAACACTCGCCAGCGGCGTGAAGTAGGCAAATAGTTAACCCACAAACTGGGGTCAAAACACTATGAATGAGTAAATATAGATTTTAATACCAGAAATACTTTGTAAAATTATTACCAGCATATAAATATTTGAAGAAAGTTATAGACAGAAATACCTTATTACAAGCAATACATTTTTGAAAAAAAAAAAAGAAATTACCAGCTATACATTTTTGAAAAAGATTTTTACCAGTAATAGACTTTTGAAGGAAAAAAATATTACCAGAAATAAATTTCTGAAGGAAAAAATATTACCTGAAATAGATTTTTGAAAGAAAAATGTTACCAGAAATAGATATTTGAAGGAAAGAATATTACCTGGAATAGATTTTTGAAGGGGAAATATTACAAGAAATAGATTTTTGAAGGAAAAGATATTACCAGAAACAGATTTTTAAAGGAAAAAATATTACTAGAAAGAGATTTTTGAATGAAAAAATATTACAAGAAACAAATTTCTGAAGGAAAAACATTACCAGAAATAGATTTTTGAAGGGGAAATATTACCTGAAATAGATTTTTGAAGGGAAAATATTACAAGAAATAGATTTTTGAAGGAAAAAGTATTACCAGAAATAGATTTTTGAAGGAAAAAGTATTACCAGAAATAGATTTTTGAAGGAAAAAATATTACTAGAAATAGATTTTTGAAGTAAAAAATATTACAAGAAACAGATTTTCGAAGGAAAAATATTACCAGAAATAGATTTTTGAAGGAAAAATATTACCAGAAATAGATTTTTGAAGGAAAAGATATTACCAGAAACAGATTTTTGAAGGAAGAACATTACCAGAAATAGATTTTTGAAGGAAAAAATATTACTAGAAATAGATTTTTGAAGGAAAAGATATTACCAGAAACACATTTTTGAAGGAAAAAATATTACTAGAAACAGATTTTTGAAGGAAGAAATATTAACAGCAATACATAAAAAAAAACAAAAACAATATTACCAGCAATAAAAAAATTTTCAGCATTAAATAATCCATTGACGTTGATATGCCGTGAGACAAAACAAACAAAAGTAAATCTTACAAAGAATATATTATATTTATAGAAAGCTACAGTAAAAATTGTCGGCATTGAGGTTCGATACACCGTAAAACGAAACAAACCAAAAAATCGTATAACACTTCACTCATCTTGAGCATTTTAAGAGTAACACGACAACGTGTGTCTCTTGAGAATTGTATTTGTTGAACTTCAGCATTAAAAAAAATCACATTTTATTTTTTTCATTATTAAAGAAAATATTTTTGTTTATTCTTTTGTTTTTTTTTTTTTTAAGTCTGTTTCACCTCAAGCAAGGCAGAAAACCACTAAGACACAAAGGAATACTGGAATTAGAAACAGAAAAAAAACTTTGCTAAGTCGCGAGAACAAAAGTAATCAGGAAGACAGCAGACAGCGATTAATCTTGCATTTAGATTTTTGCAGACTTGGCTGGAAAGCATGTAGCCGGAATGTCCACAAGCGAGAAGTGCAAGATTAAACTGTTAGCATAGGATTTAGCAATTGTTTCTATATATCAGGCGTATTTGTCAGTTATCAGTACATATCAAATGGCAGCAACTCGCTCGCCAAAAATCATCTGCGATTCTTCTCAATATGATTCCCGACTTCAAATGCATTGTAACTTACATTCTTCACCCTTAATCCCAAAATCTCTTTTGCAGACGCACCAATCGAAAAAGTTGTTCGCATATAGCACAAGCCCATCCAAAATGGCTGACATATCCCACACAATATCTTAAGTAAACGTAAATAATCTTGCTCCCGTCATCCTGATAGCAGCAACAACGAATACACCGACAAGAAAACTGATTTAAAGACGCCAACATGATCAATATTTTTTGGACATGGAGTATTCATCATTGAACGTGTTGTCATAAAGCGGCCATGGATGACAAATGTTTGTTACTTTGCTAAATGACGTAGACAGCCACCACCAAAAATGTAGTGAGCTGAATTAAAAGTCTGACGCCTTCATCAAGAATACGTCATAAATCCCTTGACAGGAAATAAACAGCATGCGCGCGCATGGAGAATGAGATTGTGAGCATAAGAAATAGAATAAGATATACAACAATAGTGTTTCATCACTGAATTTATTTGACTTGAACAAGGAGAACGAGAAGTCCTAACATGATCTTATAAGCAAATGATACGAAGTGTCTTGATAGTAGAAAATTGGAAGAAAATTTAGACAAGATATTAAAGGAAAAACGACATCGCATGTGGACTATAGACAGACTGACGTGAAAATAAAGATATATATATATATATATATATATATATATATATATATATATATATATATATATATATATATATATATATATATATAAAAACTTTTCACCCCAAGCAAGGCGGAGTGTCACTATTACGGAAGGGGTTACAGAGAGTGCGAACAAGTGTAAAGAGGCGTGAAAATGGAAAGGATGAAGAAAAGGATGGGGAATAGATCAAGGCCCCTGGAGATGTCGATTGACATAGCATTTGAATAGTTGAAGATTATAGCTATCAGGTAAGCAAATAAAAGGAAAGGAGTTCCACAGACGGGAAGTGCGAAACATGAAGCTATTGGAGTAGAAGAGACGGCTGCATGTAAACATTTCGACCGTGAAAGAGTGGGACTGAGATGCCCCCTAGTGGAACGTGTAAATTCATGCTGTTTGGGAACTAGCGAAAATAGCTCGTCGGAGTTTTTACAGTGAAGATAGAAAAAAAAAAGAGGGGGGCGATGGAACGTCTGTGAGACAGCGGTTGTAAACGATATGCCAGATCAGGGCCAAACACATCGCATATCCCTCTCTGGATTTTGTCGAGGACCCTAAGACGGACAGTGGGGGCTCCAGACCGTATATGACAGTAATATTCCATCCAAGGGCGAACGGTTGATTTATAGATTTGAAGGATTGATTCGGGCGAGAAAATCTTTCTAGCGCGACACAGAGAACCGATTTTCCTTGCGGTGGATGAAGCTATTGTTTCAATGTATTTGTTCCATATCAGGTCAGCGGACAGTGTGTGATCAAGCAGTTCCAAAGAGGTGCTGTCGTGGAGTTGAGCATCTGACATTCTAATAGGAGGCAGGGAGGTTTCTCTTAGGTGGGATATACATCTATCATGATAATGTGTTAATAAACACAAATATCCGAAGTTGTATAGTAAGAACGGAATAGGCATTCCATAAATTGAGGAAAGTTTTAGAAGAGAGAGAATTGTCTTCATAAACAATATCTAGTATCCGATAGCGAAGTGAATACTGTAAAATTACAGATGATTGATTTATTTTCTCTCGGTTTATCAACCCATTTGCAGGTTATTTAAAGCCATATATTATTTTTAGATTGTAATGATTTTTGGGGAGTTAATAATTGCTTTAGTGATACAAGTCTTTCTAAGTAATCCCATAGCTGGCGTGACGGGGTGGGGAGATGGGTTCTTACCTTTCACAAGAGTATGTGCGCACAAATGAATATAACGAACCCCAACGGGAATTGGAACTCGGCACTCGGATTAACAATTCTGAGCCATTACCTATTACACCACCCGAACTTCCAAGCTTACAACACCGGGTATTCCGGAGCGGCTATCCATCTTTGTACTGACCAGCTCAACGTTGCTCAACTTCGGTGATCATACGGGAACCGGTGTTTCCACGTGATATGGACATCAGCTAAAACAAAAGATCCGAAAAACATTTAAAAAATTATACGCAAGGAAGATTTGAAGAATCTGGTGTTGTTAAAGTAAGAAGAGGGAAAAGACGCAGAATAGGTTAGGGAATGCAATAAAATCTTGTACATGAAGTAGATGCATGGCGATTTTCTTAACGTAGCTTAAATGTGGCACAAGGCCGAAACAGTGGAGCACCCAGTGAAAATCGAACTCCATATTCTATCTAGCTTGTTAACCATTGCACCACGTCGAAGTGCCACAGGATACATATAGCGAGGGAGATATACTGACAAAGGCAGATAATACTATTATGTCAACATAACAGCGATACATAAGTATTAAAGAGAATAGTAACTACATAGATATTGGAGCCAATAGCTGGAATGAGAGCTTTCTCAGGAAATTGATGAGGAATTGCCGAATTTAACGGTCACAGTGCATAGCGAAGACAAGAGAAGCAAGCAAAAATCAAGGGATCTACATAATGAGTTGGAAAATGCGTAGCAGAAATCAAACAACGAGTAAAGGTAATCTGTCTATATTTCTGAGATGAGGTATTATGTACAATATTTACATTATTCCGACTACTGTCCTCATCTTTGTCGCCATATTTATCACAACGTTTCGGCCGATATACGCTCCGGCTTTCTTCAGGTGGTTGGAATGTCGAACTGAACCCTTTATTTCGCTCACTGGGATAGACTGTTCTAGTTCCACGTGCCATGTTTGGTGGATGTCAGTTATCACTGTTAATCTCCCTCTGAAAGTTCTCCACTGCCTTAACCGGGTATTGAACTCGCACTCTTTCGTCCTGTCACTGGATCTAACCAACGCCTTTATCAACTGCGCCATGTAAATCGTTCAAATTTATTGCGAGCAATAAAATCAGTACATCGTGAACTACCGCTTTAAACGACATGCCATAATGTTAAATGGGAGTAAATTGACTTTGCCGACACTTGAGTTTGACCATAGATCGACACTTGAGCAAACACAGGCGAACCCATTATTGAATTAAAGTAGGCTATGTGAACATAGAGCAAAAGAATATATGTAGTAAGTAGATGACGACTAACTGTTGAGGAGTCCACCCCTTCATACACAAATGGACTCACCCAGTATATACATATACTACGGCTACGTGAAGACCCGAGAGCAAGACCGAAGAGTCGAGTCGAGTCGAGTCGAGTCGAGTCCAGAGTGACAGAGTAAAAGGTTGTATGTAACCGGAAGTGTGAGGGTGAGGTAACAGCGTTGTAGAAGTCACAGTGAGAGAGCACGTAGACTCAATAAGAAGTCATACAGCGATACTTCAATACCAAAGACTCTATATATTTTGCCACTAAACCGTATTCCTGGAACTAATAACTTGCTTTACCAGTTTGTATAATTACGTTAATACATTATTTTCATATATTCATTCCTGGCGTTTGTTATTTATTGGTACCGGATTTCAACCCGGAATCCACAACACTAACGATCGATATTTCTAATCTATCCTCTATTAGTATAAGGATCACCATTTCTACTCTATTTTTCTATTAATATACGGACCGCTATTCTCTACTTTTATCACTATACTATTTCTCTATTCAGATCACTATACGGTCGTTACTTTTTGATCGAGTATTATCGAGCAAGTACAATTAGTGCAAGTGCTATTCGAAGGCGTCTGACACCAGTATTGTTCAACAGCGTTACTATAGTTGTATCTGTGATTACAGTCTCTACTAGAACGAGCATTACGAAACTGTCAACGAGTATTTGTTGGCATCATAAAACATAAAAAGATGAATTGTTTGACAATCTGATCGAAGAATGGTATAAGTCGCCTGAAAATTATATTTTGTTGAGGATAAAAGGTGTTTATCATAAGAAATTGGTACATGTTCCAAGAAGTTTTTTTCGGAGAGGTCATTTTTTGAAAAAGCGGCCGGACAAAAGGTTTAGCATGATCCACTCTTTATTTAAAAATAAATCCAAGAACAGCTACGAAAATTTGAATATTCGGAATGTATGTGAACAGTGGATGGCTGACACCTCTACCAGAACTCAGACGGGCAGAAAAATTATCAAGACCGACGTATAAACACATCTGTAGCTGGTTTTTGAAACTAATATTTCAACGGTTTTTTAGTCCGTATCGGAAAATGACACTTTCAGTAAAAACGAATATACGCCAGGGAATGGGCTAAATATCTGTAATTGCTGCATTTAGATGCCCCCAATTTCTATCTCGCGACTTCTATTGTCTCTCTTGTCAATGACCATAAATTCGCTCTTGTTACAATTGATACTGAGTCCTTGCTTTTCGGTTTCTTTTACTTATATATGTAGGTCCTGCAGCCATACTTGTAAACTAAACGTGCATAGCTTTACCATGCTGGGCTTTGCTACTGTGCTGTAGTTATAAGCAGATTTATTTCAGTGTTTGGCTTCAGCACAGTACTATCTTTTTTTACTTTTTCCTTATGTTCAGCTAGTACAGGGCCCAAGAGGGAGTGACTGAATGAGGTGTGTGATATGAACATAGGGGAAGGAAGTGAATATTATGAAGGTATGGATAGATAAGGAATGACCCCAGACATGAAGAAGTTAAATGTAACACTGTGTAACACTGGTAAAAGGAAATGGTTAATTTAAAATATAAACGCAAACAGACGAAAAGAGTTAAAATTACATGCAAACCGAAAGAATGAGGAAAAGAGAAATTCTGGGGAGAATGACTTTATTCGTTTTGGGAAAGGACATTGTCAGTGGGGAGGTGGAAGGTGTCAAGGTGAAAGTGCATTTCGAGGTAAGTTGAGGACAAAGGCAGAATTGAGGAATTGATTTGTGCCTCTCTATCAGAGAACAGAAATGTCCCCGCCGATTTTGAAAATGTAATCAAGACAAGAAATAGGATTTTATCCCGTCTCGAATGTATCTAAAAAAAATAAACGGACCTGTAATCTTAATGAGTACTATCAAGCGAGCCTATATGAAGACAAGTGTTGCTGATGGCTGGTCTCTGAAATAGCAGGCAATTGCCTTTTTACATAAACAAGACCACTTGTTGAAAATTAATAAGAAAACAACAATTAATGATAAAAGTTAAGATCGCTTTCGCACACGTGGTTTGAAAGTCGGAATTATCAAAGAGACATCTGATGTGGCGGGATTAAATGACACAACAAGAAAGACGGGGAGATTATCTCCACGTATGTGGATGTAATTGTGTGAGGCATAAATAAGAGAAGCAATGAGTTATACGGGCGCGCCAATGCCTGCAACCACTACCCGTAGGAAGAATGGTTCTCCTAAATTTGGTGATATAATGAACATTAACAACTAGACAATGAAGAACTTTGTTAAAATTAATACAGAAATACCCCCAAACCGTTAGTCTCACCCCGGTCTTTAGACAAAGTCAATATAAGCAGACGCAATCAACGAGAAAGCAACGTACAGAGACCCGCTTTCGGAGAGAAAGCAACGGACAGAGAAACCAGACAGCGGCGGGTGAATGTTCTGCTGAGACCCACGTGACTTGCTGCCAAAAGAATTTCCGACTTTGGTCCCTGTTCCAAGAATTCGTGCCGATAGGCAAAGTGTTAACAAAGATTTTAGCGGGAGGGGTTAGTTTTTGTTATACAAGAAACTACATAAAAAAAATCAAAATTAAACTGAAGAATTTTTTCGTTTTTAATTCGTCTGCAAGTACATTTCCATTTAGTTTCAATCATAGCACCGCTCACCGTGGTCCGAATCAACACTACGATTACTGACGTTAATGAGTCCCTACCAGCTCTGTGATCAAGAAACCCAATGTGGGCAGAGCAAGGTGTAGACCGAAGAGGACAGCGACCAACGACCGCCGACCCGCGACAGTATCCAACAGCGTGAGATTAAGCCTGGAATCAACTCGTCGTCCTATGACCCCCGTGAACCAAGAAATCTTCTGGTATAGGCGGCGTGTAGTAAAGGTCAGATCGTTTGGTAACCGCTGGCCAGGCTGACCTAGAATCGACCACCGGTTTAAGAGTTATATAAGCTTGTAGTATTCGTGAAAGCATTCACGCGGGGTTATCTTCCCCAAAGTACCTCTTTTGAGGGCGAATCTTACTGAGACATTCTTGTTACCAAAGTAATACGTAGGAAATTAGAGTGATTCAATCATGTGGTCGTTCCAAGATGGAAAATGATTGCAAAGATTTGAATTTAATGTAGAGTTCGTTTAAGCATTTGCTATGTAAGTCGCGATAGAGAAGCTATAGCCATGCAACATTGCGCCTGAGAGGAAAGAGGCTGCAGGGTGGAAAATGTCATTTCATTTATCACAAAGCTGCTTTTGATCTTTGTCATGGTTGGATAGGGATGATTAGCTAGGTCAAACCCAAATATGGCAGTTCTTAGGTTACAAATTTTATCTTTCGACAGAAACCAAACATATGTCTGAGAACGTAAGTCTCTCAAAAGAAAAAAAAATGGGATTTTCTACTCAGAGACCAATACACAGACACAGACAACGTATAGAAAACAAACATAAGGTGCAAAGACATATTTAATGTAATAAAGATATAGAGTGGGAGAAGTAGGAGACGATAAACAATGAATAGATGAAAGGAAAGGAAATATTTAACCCATAGTTGTAGATTTTGATTTCCTAGTTGTCCTGCTCCTAGACTGGTTGCCACCCAAGTCTGCAATCAAATTATCGATATGTCAACTGAGTAGAATATGGGGTAATCCCGAACGAACCTACAATTATTTCATATTGTGAATTTTATCTTTCGACAAAAATAACACATATGGCTGTGAACTCAGTTCACTGAAACGAAAAAAATGGGATTTTCAACTCAATTAGGGACCAATACACACACACACACACACACACACACACACACACACACACACAGAACGTATACAAACAAACAAAGGAGGTAAAGTTAAATATAATTTAATTTATTAAATATATAGAGTGGCAGAACTAGGAAATGATAGACAAAGATTGGTG